ATTTCTCCCAGTAGGAACCATTAAACCAATAGACTAGTATTGAAAAGACCAATCAGAAATTTTAAACAAGATGAGAAAACATGTATCATATACATAATTGTAATAAATAAATATAATATTACAATTTTACGGTACAAAACAACTCGAAATGTGCCTGGAAGGAGTCTGATTCTTGCCTCTCCCTGTTTATATCCCTGACCGTTGGTCTCGTTTTCCGGCCGTTGTGCACGTTTCGTTACTAAACGTTATGGAGCATGTATAATTGATATAAATGGAGCTTTTTTCTGGACGTTATGGATCATGAACAAGTTTAAATAATGGTTAATTAAAAGTAAAAACGATAGTTTATAATTTCTGAAAATCTACGTGTTTTTGTATTAATTTCTAAACAAATTCGAAGTCAAATTAGTACCCAAGTCATTTTGATATAATGATCAAGTTTGTATACCCAGTAGCGTAGTATTCAAAGGATTAATCAGAAATTCTATGCAGGATGGGAAAACCATAAAATACGCTATTATACATACAATTATCACAAATATTACATTTTTACGGAAACAGCACGAAATGTTTTGGTTTTTAAAACATTGTGTTCAACTATGCCAAAATATTCATGTTCCTGTTTATTTAGACGGATGTAAAAAACATTGGGAATTAACAGAAATTCATAAACTCCGACTGATTTAAACACTGATGATTAGAGTACCAAAATTTGTAAGGGTCGCGTGCGTGGAAATAACAAGAAATAAAAAATAAAATAATTATTTAAAATAAAACTTTATTATAATCATTTTCTCGAGATATAAAACAATACAAAATAATTTATTGATCTTCGAAGAATTTTCAGTCAAAAAATAAAATAAAATTACATTCTTTCTTATAAAAATTAAATTGAATTTATTCCATCAATTAATTATTAATTAAAAGTACAAAATAAAACCATACAAAAGGATGAGAAGAGAAAGGACTCTCGTGTGGGGCCTGGAACGTTTCTTTTTAAAAACAACAACTTTTGGGTCTTTATTTTGAACCAATAATAATGACTGAGTTAAATTTTAAACTGATCAGGAAATTGAGTTTATTGTTTAAAAAATCTAAGGAAATGAGACATGGACTTGACTGTTCGAATTCTGTTTTATTACTCAACTTACATTGGCGGGCCGCCATATCACTTTTTGCCAGAGCAACACAGTTTACATATAAATCTCTACATGTAAATCTTGTGGCCGCCATACCGCTCCCATTCTAGGAAGTAATGTGGGTCTTTAGCTGATGAGGAAATTATACTCGACGAACACTGCGTATGGGTGGCGGGTTTGGCATGTCCGAGTCCTGAGGTGGAGGTGGAGAAGGTATCACTGGTACGGAGTTATGAGGTGATGGTAGTTCGAGACATCGTGTTTCTTCATAGTCAACATGGTCAGTGATGAATGACGGTTTTAAACGATCTTTGGATACTGTGGTAGGTGTGTCTCCAATTAGCACATCGTTTTTAGTGTGCGTCGTAGAACTTCCGTATAAGATTTCTGAAGGGATGCACGAACGCCGTTATACCTGATATAGAAGTGGGAGGTTGAGTCCGATTCACTATGCCCAAATGTTTTTTCCATGCGTGCCAAGCTGTGGTGGTGGATCGTCTTCTGGAGAATAAGGAATGGAGCTTGTGAACCGTAGTTATGTGTTGGTGACTGATTTGTAGGTTTTTCGAAGAATTCACCTGTTTACAGATTACACAGATACACCGGAGTTACAGATTTGTTCCATACATCAGATTAGCGGCAGTGCTTTGGTGTTTTCCTTGCAGGCTCAGCGTAATCACAATCGCAAATGTGAACACGATGACCATTGAAGATTGCAAAGGTGTGACCTTCCAATAAATAAGTTTCTTGTGGTTGAGTATATTGCTAATAATTCACGATCTATGTGGAGTATTTGGATTCAGCTGCTATCAACTTCCTGGTGTAGAAGGCTAAGGGTCGTGGATATTCTTCTTGATCTTGATGAATAACGCCTCCGATGTTCGACGCGTCAGCTTTTAAGGATAATTTTGCGGTGGGATCAAGAAAAGTTAATATTTTTCTATTGTATTATGTTTTTGCATTTGTCAAAAGCAGTGTCCATTTCTGTGGTTTATGGAGGAGAATTATCTTTTTTGGTGGTAAGCAGATGCAAAGGTATTTGGATTTCGGCCATGCGTGGAAAGAATCGATGATAAAGTCTATCATGCCTACGAATTTTTAGTCCCATTAAATGGGAGCTTTACAAAAGTATGTGAATGGTTAATTTGTATACTTTATGACGAAATTGGAGGCAACATCAAATTTGTTATAGGACGTTATCAGAGCCACGTTACCGGGAGAAGACCGGACGGAAGGGCGTAGGCTTCTCTCGCTTTCTTCGGCTCGAGACGTCCATGCTGCACAATATCTCCTGACTCCTCTCTACTTCGTTTTTATTTTTAATATAAAATAACCGAAAAAAATAATATCTGTTTGTACAAGTGACTAGTGTTTAATATGGACGTATTCCTCTGAATAGTGGGTAAATATTGTAATTATATTATTTTTTCCTTTAAGAAGAAGAAGAAGAAGAAGAAGAAGAAATAAATAAACTTTATTCAGGGGCTTAAAGCATAATAGAACTGTATCTAGACTCGTGCTCAACACATATACAAAAAAAAAAAAAAAAAAAAAAAAAAAAAAAAAAAAAACAATTACAATTGCAAAGTTACAAAAAACAATTATAAAATATATACATTTTAAACTTATACTCAAAATGTACTGTATAAAATTAAAAGAGACAATTATGAACATTACAGATGATTTAATAATAATTTTTCAATTACGGTAACTGGTGCTTAGTTGTATTGACAGGAGGTAATCAAATAGACGGGTGTTAGTTAAAGAGGGGTAGGGAAGGAATTCCAGAGGCTGAATGAACGGATGAGGAAGGAACAATGAAAGCAATAGTTCTGTGTTTAGGAGATCAGAATAGCTAAAACGAGTATGACGGTTGTGTACCGCAGACCTAATGGTTAGGAGATCATATATATAAGGAGAGGAGTGGGAAGACATTGTTTGGTAAAGGAAGGAGCCGAGAAAGTATTGCCTGCGGTGGGAAGGATTTAACCACTTCAGACTAAAGTACATATTAGTAGGAGTAGTGGGACCTCCTTGGAGAGCCGTAAATAAAGCGTACAGAACAATTCATTAAGCGCTTAAGTCTATTATTCCGCTCCCCAGTGCGTCCCCGTACACCACACATCCATAGTCAAAGTGTGGGAGAATTAGAGAGGAAACTAGGTGTTTACGGGTACTAATGGGAAGAAGATGGCTGGCACAACGGAACTGATGGAGGGTGGAAAAACAGCGGCGGGAGATCTGGGAAATATGAGGCTTCCAAGGTAAGGTCTGGCCAAGTACAATCCCAAGGTTCTTGACAGTGGAACAGAAAGAAATAGGGTGATGGTTAATGGTAAACGGAGGGATAAAAGTAAGGATTGAAGGAGTGGACGAGATCCAAACACATTGGCCTGAGTCTTTTCTACATGAAGCGTAAGCCCATTTTTAGTGGCCCAGGAACTTATTAAATTACTCCTGAATTTTTACAATAGCAGCTAGTAAGTCAGTAAGTGGAAAAGAACGGCAAATTTGGGAGTCGTCTGCATAAAGATAGTGGGAGCAATATTTTACGGAATTAGGAAAGTCGTTAATGTAGCAACAAAAAAGAGAAGCAGAGATACCTAACCCTTGAGGAACTCCAGAAGTGATGGGGACTTATTTGGGGACTTGGAAACGTTGTGAAAGGTAGGATTGAAGCCAATTGTGGATACTGCGGAAGAATGATTACGTTTTGAGTTTAGCAAGGAGAAAGGAATGATCTACTCTATCAAAGGCATTGGAGAAGTCCAGGAGGACAAGAATTATAATTTTACATTGGTCAGTAGCCTTCTGTATGTCAGTCAGTTTTAGGACATTGTGTGAAAAAGCCAGGACGAAAACCAGATTAGAGGGGGACAAGGAAATTTGAAGTTTCTAAATAGGAAGACATTTGTAAATAGACTAATTTTTCTAGGGGTTTATCTAGGTTAGAGAGGATAGATATTGGACAGAAATCGTTAGGGGTGATGGGTATTTAGAGGTTTCTGCATCTGCATACCACCAAAAAAGATAACTCTCCTCCATGAACCACAGAAATGGTGTTGGGTATTTAGAGGTTTTACAATCGCCTGCTTCCATGATTTTGGAAAAATGGCGTTTTACCAGGAAAAATTGTAGATATGTAGAAGGATTGTAAGGATAAAAGGTAGATACACTTTAATGAGTTTTATGGGTATCCCGTCACTCCCAACTGCCTCGGTACGGATCCGCTTAATGGAAGTACTAGTGCGTTGGGTGAAATATCTAAAAACTGTTAGGATCAAATGGAGAGTAGCTAGGAAGGGAAATAGGGTAGTTGGGACCGGAAGATTGTGATGTTGATGTAAAATGGGCGTTAAATTCATCAGGGAAGACAGGGGTGGTTTGGCATGAGGTGCAGAGAGTTCGCGCAGTTCCACATGGACTTGGTATCGGGGGACAGAAGACCTGGCCTCGTGGAAGTAATAGCCTTGAGCCATTCGGAGTTTAGACTGAGCTAAATTCCGTAAACGATCCTCTGGGTGACCAGTGCGCCTGGAGCGTCTACGGGCAGAATCTCGCCTTCTCCTCAGGTCGCTAATCTCATCATTCATCTTCTTTATGATCTTTTCTTTGATTTTTATATTTATTTGCATGCTTCCTTAGTTTCTCACATTTTCTTATAAATAATAATAATAATTATTATACTAAAATCTCTCTCTTCTTGCTTTTACTGGACCGAGTAGATTCCATGAAAAACAATAAAAAAATATTATAATATAACTAAGAGGATAATTACTTATTTTCATTCATAATTTTTTATCTTTTTATTTTGGCTTTGAAAGGAACATTTTTAATTAAAAATAATATATTTTCTACTCATAAATGGTTCAAACACTGGTTATTATATTGAATTGAAAACATTGGAATAAAATTGACCTTGTTTATTAACAATGGGCTTGCAAAAAGTGTTACAACTACGTTTTATACCAAGACGACATCTAAATTATGAATTATTTTTGAAAACCATATGACATATTGCATTTTAATCAACATGCTCATGCTATTCCTATACTAAAAATCAAATAAACTGAATATTTGTTAGTTGCTGAAGTAATCCATTCTTGACTGGTCGAGACGTCTTTCTTCCTGCAACATACAATATAGAATTAAGATTGTAAATATCAACACATTAAATTATTTGATTTGTTATAATTAAAAAACAAATATTCCTGAAAGAAAAACTTCATTTTTACCAATGTTCGACCTTTAAATATTTTTAAATATATTTAGTAGCACTGGCCGCAAGGGAAAGAGATTTTATCTAAGAAGAAGGGTTATAAGATATTTTGCATATTGAACTCGTTTCAGAAGAAAAAGATTTTGGCTCCGAGTTTTATAATGTTTGTATAATTCAGTTTATTAAATTGAATATTTAAAATAAAAATAATCTGCTTTGATTAACAGGTATGAAGCAACTGCAGCAAAAAAGGCAGAGCTCTTGTTGGTTGTTTACGTTCTAAACAGGTAAAATTAGAATAACATAAAAGCGTCAGAGCGCCTTTCCCTGCTTATAACCCCGACATCACGTCACCTTTCTTTGATTGTTTTTGATCAATGGCACACTTATTTTTAAAGATTATTTGAATACTTGATGAAAAAACGATTTTTTAAAAAGAAATTTGAAAGAGATCATAAAACGTCATCAGATCTACCCGCAGGTTAAAAAATGGATAAAAGCCGGAGTTTGATTGCAACACAATGGTTCATTTCACTAGTTTTCGTGGTCCGCTTGACCAATTAATATCTTTCAATTAATTAAGGTTTTTAGTTGAGATAAAAAAGTCAGTGTCACGAGCGGGATTCGAACCCACGATCTTCGGCTTGATACGCCGCTGCTCTACCACTTGAGCTATCGTGACCTTGATCGGGGGTTCGAATCCCGCTCGTGCCATTGACTTTTTTATATCAACTGAAAACCTTAATTAATTGATTATAATGCAAGGTTTTGTCACATTGTAGAAAGTGATAATATAATCTAATTTCTAGATCGTCGTTCGCGTTTGTACAGGAAAAACTCGCATAACTGGAGGCAGTCTGAGTCTTGCCTTTCCCTGCTTATGACCAGACTCGTGGTGATGGATGATCCGTAGTGATGGGTTATAATTGTTTATGATTCTGTTGATTATGGTTTTCGGGTAGTTATTGTTATGTAAGATTTGATTTTTGGTTTGAATGTTTTTTAGGTGAAAGGATTCATGATTAGAGATATGATCTGTGTACATGCCGTGTTTAATATTGTGTGTGGGTGTGATGTACAATTGAGCTGGCGATCAGTGTTCATTGGTTTTTGGTACCAATCTGTAATTAGTGTGCCATCTGTTTGTCTTATTACAAGTGTGTCCAGGAATGGTATTTTGTTTTATTAATTCACTACTTTCGGGGTCCGCTTGACCAATTAATACATGACAATTAATTAAGGTTTTTGGTTGAGATAAAAAAGTTAATGGCACGAGCGGGATTCGAACCCACGACCTTCGGCTAGATACGCCGCTGCTCTACCACCTGAGCTATCGTGACCTTGATCCACTCGAACATCAACTCCCCATCTCAACCCCACCTTATGAGTTTTCCCTCCTTTTGCCATTTTTCAAAATTTTGAAATTTTTGCCATTAACTTTTTTTCATCTCAACTAAAAACCCTAATTGATTTTGTTTTATATTTCTACTTCATGTGTGAATTGTAAGCGAAGATGAAAGTTTTAAAATCTGTTTGAAAGTAATTTTGAAACATGGTATTAATTTACATTATTAATTTGTTTACTTTTCGTAATATATATTAAAAAATCATAAAATGTCCTATTTAATCATACGGTTGCTTATTGAACAAAAAATGCAATGAAACTTTTTATAAACTTAAAAAAAAATTACTTGACGTAAATCATTTTAGCTGATATGTCGACGGGGTTGTTTCCTATAAGGGAACCAACTATCTCGAACGATGCATGGAGATGAAGGATAGCAAAGGAAGAGTCTGTCAAAACAGACGATAAGAAGCTTTCAGTCCTTATTTCTTTTCCAGTTTATGGAAAATGATGGCAACATAAATATTGCTGGGAAAAGTCAACCGCCATCTAAACATATATAGTTTTGAAGTGGAATTCAATCTCACGTTTTGAACTCGAAAGACATTAAATATGTAATTAATTTTGACGATGTTGATACTTTACACCACTATTTGATCGATTGCATTTGAGGGAAATTGGTAGAATTGGATGGAAAATTTAATCGGCCCTGTCGCCATGCGTTAAGAAAATAATTAGCTTCAGTTCAATCAGACACGTACACTTTCTTCACAATGTCAGGGCTATATATCATGCTTCAAATGATTGATGCGTCTTCAATGGATTTACATAATCGGCGGTGAAAAGGAGCCACGCTCCGGCGAACGCGCGCATCAAACACTGCCCGTCATTCTGATGCCGACAATAGGACCGTTCAAATTTAACGCCAAGGCTTGTTATTTAAATAAAACAATTATGGAAAATTGTCAGAGCCCCGATGATGTGATACAACTGGAACAGACAGCGATTGATTCACGTAAACACACAATGAATGTCGACAAGAGAATGTCACAATATGATATGTATATTGGATAAGATTTTGTACGCTTTTGTGAATAAAACTCGGCGAGTGACGTTGTCGTGGATAAAGACAGCAGAAGATTAAGTAAAAGAAGTTTTAAACGGGACAAAAGAAGACCTCTACTTAAGGCATTAAAAGAACCTTTTTTATTAGTATAACTTTAAGACGCAATCCCCTTAAAATATCGTTATTCACACAATTTTCATTTAATTTTGATTTGATTGGTATGTGTGTTCACTAAGTTTCTATCAGGACCCCACCTGAAGTCCATAATTTAGAATTTAACTCCTGTTGGAAATACACGTATCGAACTATTAATGACGTCAGGGTTGCAGGCAGTTAGAAGTCAAAAATCAGCACATTTGAACGAAATTTATGTTTCAAACGCGAAGGATATACTGGGTCCACTACGACTTACAAGGTGACGATCAGGTTGGTGTGTCACGGATTTAGACCCAACTTTTTTGTTGGTCATTCTACACTCCAAAATATCGGATACGTATCCGCCTCTTCTTGTGAATAGGCCTTGGTTTAGCCATTTTTTTTTTTAAGTTGAAATTTATCGTTTTTTAGTATTTTTATTTCGCCGTTCTACTTGCTCATATCAACTACGTGAATATATCATTTTACAGTATTTTATTATATATATTGAAATAATAATATAGTAAATGATATCAAAGTTTATCAATAACCAAAAAGTTATTCAGATATTGTGAGATGGGGTCGGGTGTGATGTAGGCTTCAGAAAAACATTTTCTTTATCGTGCCAACGTTTCGATCTTTTATTGAGATCATCTTCAGGGCCTGGGAATATATAAAATATATTTTGCATTGTATAAATTCACTTTTCCACATCCAAAATGTATTTGTTAAATGTAAACATTGTTTGTAAATCCCAGGCCCTGAAGATGATCTCAATAAAAGATCGAAACGTGGCACGATTAAGAAAACGTTTTTCTGAAACCTACATCACACCCGACCGCATCTCGCAATATCTGAATAACTATCGATTAACGGTCACTAATCTCTACACAAATAACCAAAAAATTCAAAAAACCAAATTTTTTCAAGTAAACTAGGACATAAATTTTTTTCCTTAAAACTAACGTAAAATTTCGTTTTAGCTCATCTAGAGACCACCTAAATATAAATTTTTGTTTGAATTTAGATGTATCGATTGTTTACCTCTTAGATGTATCGATTTTACCTCCGTCTCTTCTTGTGAACGGGCCTTGGTTTCGCCAATTTTTTTATGTTGAAATTTACCGTTATTTAGTATTTTTATTTCGCCGTTCTACTTGCTCATATCAACTAAGTGAATATATCATTTTACAGTATTTTTTATGTATGTTGAAATAATATCAATAATAAATGATATCAAAGTTTATCAATAACCAAATTTTTTCAAGTAACTAGGTCATACATTTTTTTCCTTAAAACTAACATAAAATTTCCTTTTAGCTCATCTTTTTTTAAAGTTGAAATTTACCGTTTTTTAGTATTTTTATTTCGCCGTTCTACTTGCTCATATCAACTACGTCAATATATCATTTTACAGTATTTTTTATGTATATTGAAATAATAACAATAATAAATGATATCAAATCTGTGGTGATTAGTGACCGTTAATCGATATTTATTTAAAAATTGTGAGATGCGGGCTGGTGTGATGTAAGTTTCAGAAAAACATTTTCTTTATCGTGCCAACGTTCGATCTTTATTGAGATCATCTTCAGGGCCTGGGATTTACAAACATTGTTTACATATAACANAAGATGATCTCAATAAAGATCGAAACGTTGGCACGATAAAGAAAATGTTTTTCTGAAACCTACATCACACCAGACCGCATCTCACGATTTCTAAATTTAAAAAAAAAATGATATCAAAGTTTATCAATAACCAAAAAATCCAAAAAATAAATTTTTTCAAGTAAGCTAGGACATAAATTTTTTCCTTAAAACTAACATAAAATTTCGTTTTAGCTCATCTAGAGACCACCTAAATATAAATTTTTGTTTGAATTTAGCTGTATCGATTTTTTACCTCTTAGACTTATCGATTTTACCTCCGCCTCTTCTTGCGAATAGGCCTTGGTTTCGCCAATTTTTTTTATGTTGAAATTTACCGTTATTTATTATTTTTATTTCGCCGTTCTACTTGCTCATATCAACTACGTGAATATATCATTTTATAGTATTTTTTATGTATGTTGAAATAATAACAATAATAAATGATATCAAAGTTTATCAATAACCAAAAACTTCAAAACACCAAATTTTTTCAAGTAAACTAGGTCATAAATTTTTTTCCTTAAAACTAACATAAAATTTCCTTTTAGCTCATCTAGAGACCACCTAAATATAAATTTTTGTTTCACTTTAGATGTATCGATTTTTTACCTCTTAGATTTATCGATTAACGGTCATTAATCACCACACATAAAGTATGATTTTCTCCTTACAATCTCGTTACCTTGAAAACTGCATTCTCCTTTAGGAATTGGAGCAATTTCTTAGGTAGTTGATATTTTGGTTTTTAGTTTAGTTTTAGCATTGATTTTGTTTTTTAGTTATTGCAAAGTTGTTTTGTTTTCAAGCAAAGTTCAATGCTCGTTTAAGTCAGATTGTGAAAACGTCTTTGGTATGCTTCAGCAAGTAGGTTTTTAGCACATTGGGTCTCTTTTGATCTATTTATTCATTTACTTTAATTATTGGCAGGGGTATAAGCAATGGGAAGCAAAAATAGATCCAGAGTTCGGTTGAGTTGTCACAACCTTTGTATCTCAAAGTACATTCTCTTTTAAGAATTTAAGCAATTTCTTAGGTAGTTGTTGCTTTTTCAAAGTTGTTCCGTTGATATTTATTTGTGACACTCAATATATCAGATTCTCATAGATCATATCAGTCAGCACCCAAATAAAAAAGATCATTGACTTTAGTGCCAATTCGATTTTCGTTTGTTATATATAAATTGTTTTATTTAGACTTGTATATGCACCAGAGGAAAAAGGGGAACACTTCTTCGTCCGAATCGTAGTCTTAGCTGTGGCGTCCTATTATCTTTTCGCTCTTCCATCTTGTACACCCTTTCTGGATAAGCTGCTCGCTTCAGGCCCTCGTACAAGTCGCCAACACCTGAAACATCGAAACCTATTTTAATTTTATTAACGTTTTTAACAATAACATCTAAACATTTATTACAAGAAAAACGTTTTATTTTGTTCTTATATAAGATTTCTATTTATGTTCACCTGCAGACAAACTGCTTTATTTAAACTTAATTTAATTTGTTTGTCTCTAATGATAAACCCACGACGCTAAGTTTTATAACCGGCATCTGGGGTGGCTTTACTGCTTTTGCAATGCGGTTTATTAGACCGGTTAAGCAATAAAAGCGACAATCTTGCCTTCCAGACGTAATAATTAAAAATCAAATTATATAGCAAAATAAAGTAATTAGTTTAGTTTTTCTTTATATTATATCTAACTTGTTTTTTTGTTGTTAAAATAATCGACTAAGGTCCATCGTTTTTAATATTGTTCTTAAAGTGGCACCATTAGTGTACATGGTGCATAATTTTAATTAGTTTTACCTCTTAGCCTTAATGTAAGAAGATGGACTTAACTGCGCCATTAAAATATTCAATGACTCGGACCTTTTAATAGTCTAGATGTTTTAATTTAAATGTTACAATTAACTTGTAATGATGTCGTAATTTTGTCGTCAGCTGGTTACTGGGACCACACCATCAAGACACATGATGCCTTAAGTGCTCCAGACGCTGCCACCAAGTGTAACTGATTACTGGCTCATATAAGCTCAATTCCGCACACGAAAGTACATAACATACCCACGCCTATCACGTCTCCACAGTTTGTGTAATTTACAATGAATTACCGGCAGGCCTTGACAATTACCCACCACGGGTGTTGGCAGTCCGGTGTCCGACCTTTTATCCGTACAGGTTGTGCTCCAGGGGCTATAACAAGCTAGGTTATTTCATCCCCCAACGCAACCAGCCTCAATCCAAACCTCTCACTCTTAAATACACTCTCTCCTATTTACATGCCATTCACTTAGTTAGGGTGGTAGAATAGATGATATTCTTCTATATTACATAACTAATCTAATTGGGGGTAGATGAGTACTTAGTATTTCGCCATCAGTCTCTCTCTCACACTACACATTTACGCTAATAAATACATTCTCTCTCAGCATACACATAGTAAGAAAAGAGGAGATATCTATAAAGCATTATGTACGGTAAATTAGCCCATTTTCCGAGTCAGGTTCTCCGCGGGTCACCTATTGATAGTGCTCTTGACATAATATCAATTGAACTAATATTACGATTATAATAATAATTAAACTTAATTAATAATTAAATAGAATTTATAAGTAGTTTTTAAAGCAATGAGTCTGCTCAGTTCGTTGCAACTTATAAACAAGTAAAAACTGAATAAAGTGGCAAAACTAAAAAAATAAATTATTCGGAAATCGTGAGTTGCGGTCTGGTGTGATGTAGGTTTCAGAAAAACATTTTCTTTATCGTGCCAACGTTTCGATCTTTATTGAGATCATCTTCAGAGCCTGGGATTTACAAACATTGTTTAAATTTAACAAATACATGTAGGATGTGGGTAAAAGTGTGCCATCTGGTTCAAAAAAATTCCAATAGACACAACACTAAACATTATTAAAGATAAATGGACCAACATAACACCACTCACAAGACTATCAAAGAACACGTTCATAACAATGGTTCGACACTGCTGTACTAACGGATATTTTACATACAACAATCAATTTTACAAACAACTATTGGCATAGCCATGGTAGCAACCTAGGCCCGATACTTGCAGACACATATATATTAAACCAGTTATACCACAACTTCCTTTTCACATTACCCTTCCTGACTAAATACGTAGATGATATATTGACAGCAGTTCCCACAGATCAAATTCAAACTACATTAGGTACATTTAATAGCTTTCACCCACGCTTACAATTTACACATGAAATCGAAAACAACAAAACTATACCATGTTTAGATACAATCGTAATAAAACAATCAGATGGCACATTTATCACGGATTGGTATCAAAAACCAAGAAACACTGATCGCTACCTCAACTTTACACCTCACCATCCTCTTTATACAATAATAAACACGGCCAAAGGGTTACTTCACAGAATGATTACCCTAAGCCATGAATCATTTCACATTAAGAACATAAAGATATACAAACAGATCCTCCATAACAATCATTACCCTAAACACATAATCAACAGAATAATCAACAACTACAACTCAACACTAAAAACAACAAATTCCTAACAATACTACATCAAATCTATCAAATACAAACAAACCAACATACATTCCCATGTCATTTATTCACGGCCTATCACACAATAAAATTAAACAAATTTCTCTCGCCCGATAACTTGAAAATAGCTTTCAAAAATTATAAAACAATTCAAACACTTTTTTCCAAAATTAAAGATCCCACACCAATAACAAACAAATCTGACCTAATCTACAAAATCAACTGTTTAAACTGTCCGGCAACTTACATCCCAATATCTGGGCAAGAGAGTAAAACAACATATCTATGATTGCAAAAAACCCAAGCAAAATCCTACAGCACTCGCTACCCACCATTTTGAACACAAAAACAATTTCGACCTCAACAATCCAAAAATATTACACACAGAACAAAACAAACATAAACGTAACTTTTTAGAAATGGTTTACATCAATAGAGATAAACACAGCTTCAATTACAGAACAGACACATGTAAACTCAGTCGCAGCTACGCCAATATCATTAATAAAATTCAATATAGATAACATACATATATCATCACATCACACAAAACATATTATAACATATAAAACATTCATCACATTCCACACCTCAAATACTTTTCACATAGTCTAATTTTTCAACAATTTGGCTTTCCTTTTTCTATTTATCCCCGTCTTTATAATCCTGAAAGGATAATCAGGCCGAACCATTACCAACGTTTTATCCCTTCGTCGGCTCTTTTCACCTCAAAGAAGCGGACGCCTTATACAAAAATGTCTTTCTATACCGACTTTCTTCCCCACCCTTTCAAAATCCAACGTATATAAACATAAAATAGCAATAACTCACTGGGACACTGGTACTCTCAACACGACACGCAAGAATGGTACAATTACACAGAAACAAACACTTTGAGTGAGTAGAAATACTTTGATTGAATATAAAAAATATTTTTTTTGCATTGTATAAATTCACTTTTTTCCACATCCTACATGTATTTGTTAAATTTAAACAATGTTTGTAAATCCCAGGCCCTGAAGATGATTTCAATAAAGACCGAAACGTTGGCACGATAAAGAAAATGTTTTTTTGAAATCACACCAGACCGCATCTCACGATTTCTGAATAATCATCGACTAACGGTCACTAATCACCACACATAAAAAAATAAAGGTTCTCCTAATTAGAGACTATTCCCACATTGATCTAAACAGAAAAACATGAATTATTTCAAACAAAGAAGATACAGGAACGCTTATACATCTGATAACCTCGGGCGTACTTAATTAAGAGACGAACATCAGTCTGTCCAGTTAGAAACGGGAAAATTTCTTCCCTCAGCAGGTTTCTCGCCGAATCAAGTTTTCCTGAATTGTAGACTTACCCAAGAAATGAATCCTCTCTTACATTTAAATTACAGAGCGAGCACAGCTAATTATTCGAGAATTTTTCTACCCATGGCTTCTAATACAGATAGAGTCGCCACGGAGTTTAAGAAATCAACTTCACTCAACCGGATTCAGGCTCTCTTGTACCACTGGTTTGTGATTAACTTTACAATGGAAACTGATCAGACCTTGCTGCTGCATACAATCTTCATCATAAACAGTACTTATTTTCGGTGGTAGCACCCCCTAAATGACTGAAATCCTTAAGAATATTTTTGGGAACCCTCTTTCAACTAAAAAGTTTTAAGACCATTCGAAGCGGTGAAATTTTGGGGAAACAGAAATCAGGAAACTATAAACCAACTCATTTTCCAGGTTTTGTCAAATGCAACAAGGAAATTAGAGGTCATTACATTCAAGCATACTTACTGTCGTAGTCTAAAGATGTTGTGGTCGCTTCAGGTGACATTAGGATCACCAACGCACAAAGACATCCTAGCATAGGTAGTGCTATCTTCATTTCTAAAAACAAAGAATAGAAATTTTATAGAATTTTAAAATTTTCAAAAAATCATATTATGCGTTTATATATTGCATTTTCCATGGTTCACGGAAAATGGGTCAAAAAGGGAAAAGGTCATACTGACAAGACTACGCATAGGTCATACAAGAATTACGCACGGGCACCTTCTAGCAGGAAAGCGACCGCAAAGGTGCCCATTATGCAAGGATAGCGTAACAGTCGAGCACCTTTTCAATTGTAGACGGCTCGACGTTTATAGGCAATATTTTGGAATTTCATCGGACCTGTGCGTAGTCTTGGGGCACGGCAGCGGGCACAAATCGTTGTACCGGTACCTCAGGGCTATAGGGATTTTCAAATGTATATAGTTTATGTGTGTTTGTGCTGTGCTTGTGTTGTGTCTGAAGTTTTTGTGTGGTGTTTATGTTAATACACAAGGATGAATGTAATTTATTTGCGTGAATGGAAGGGGTTATTTACCCCGCCCCGAGGAATATCGAGTACTCTGGGGTGAGTGTGTGATGTCTGGGGAGCAAAAGTAAGTTATTAGCGCGAATGGAGTGGGTTCGGCCCCGCCCCGAGGAATATCGAGTACTCTGGGGGAGTGAATGAGACCAGACTTATATGTTTGTACCGATATATATATGTTATGTATTGTATGTTGTGTATCTATTTTTAAATTGACAACCTGAGGTACTAACAAGAGGCTAGCATTTTAAAATAACGACGTAATATATAAGTAAAAGCAGAGAGTCAGTAACCAGATTGAGATGCTCAAATGGCTGCAGTTCAATATAAAATACGCGAGAAAGACAGGAAATAGAAGGAATACACGCGGAGGGCCGGTGATACACCACGAATTTCAAATAATCTGCCCTTTCAGAATCATTCGATTAGTTTATATTTTATCTTTGTTTTTGTATATTCCAATTCTAATTCCAGAGGATTACTTTCTTTTCAACTACATCGAGATAATTGTAGTATAAACGTGGGTAGTTCTTGTATGACCTATTCGGCGGTGTTTTCCTCGTTCCTTCAACTAGCCTGCGTTTAAGTTTTCCCTGATATCTTTAGAAACAATTTAACCATGAGACACGTCCGTTTTCCTCACAATTATGAAGTCTTTTGTTGAGGAAAAGTGTCCACCTCCCAGGGGATTATTGCAACGTGTTGGCTGGCGAGCCCTGACATTTTCAGAACAGAATAAACGGTCGGGTATAAAACAGTAATTATAATAGTATTTTATAATATAATTAAAAATTTCACAGTATCAGGAACAGCTAAATAAACATATATAAAGTGAATTATTAGAGTTGCTTGGTTTTGCAGTACTTTTCTTTCGGATTTTTTTCTCTATACTCTCTACACAGAACAAAAATTAATCAATTATAATTCTTAATTAACAATTGTTAATAGATAATGATAAATTTTAGTGTGAGGTACTGTCACCCTCTTTATTTAAAACATTTTCAAATACATAGTATATAATGTAAGGAAAATCTCAATACAGTAAATGTTCTAATGTTGTAGAAAGGATAATAAAAATGTAGACAATCGTTATCAACACGGTTCTCAGGGGGCGTTAACACGTACAAATGTTCCAAAAAATGTGTCGTTTCTGTTTTTAATAAGCTCTCAATGGTATTGCTAGGCGGCTGATGTTAATTTTAGAGAGACCGTCTCTCCATTGTTATTATGCTAAAACAGTCTGATAATACAGTATGCCTTGCGATATGTTTTCGGTTGAGCCGGGATGCTTTATGTTGTCACGCTTGGACGGAAGGAAAGATAATTTTGCTCGAGGTACACCCATGGGATCCGTGCGAAACCAATAACCGGACGGTCAAGGTATATATCCCAGGATCACATTACGGCCTGTAAAGAACTCAATACCTCTAGTCAATATATAGCGTGGGAGGCGGGACTTAAAAAAAATAATGTCCTTTGTTAAGACAATTGTCGAGCTTTCTGATAGGTTAAAATAAAAAAAAACTTATTATTTCCGCTATTCAAACAAAACTAATAATTCCAATTATTTATTCTTTTTATCTAAGGTTTTTGGCTGAAATAAAAAATTAGTGTCACGAGCGGGATTCGAACCATGACCTTCGGCTCAATACGCCACTGCTTTAACCACTCGAGCTATCGTAACTGGAACCACTTGAAGTCACGATAGCTCAAATGGTTAGAGCAGCGGCGAATTGAGCCGAAGGTCGTGGGTTCGAATCCCGCTCATGACACTAATTTTTCATCTCAACCCAAACATTAGATAAAAAATAATTAATTGGAATAACTAAAATGGTCATTTATGACCACTAATCAAATATAGAAAATAATAATATTTCAAAACTGGCCCCCTGAATTTTCTTGTAAACCAAAATACTGACTATTTATACCGTGCGTTTAAGCCTTGTATGAAAATAGTCCTTAACGTAAAGGGATAAAGTTATTTTATGGACAATCTTTCCGTAAACCCACTTTCCTTCTAATAGATTTTTATGACTTTAACCCTTCAAATATCCCTAATGTGATGTGCCATACCGGACACTTCATTTAATGATGGATGGCCATAATAAAATTACTTCCAGAGGTAGCAAAAAAAGAGCGAAGTGAAAATTTCTGCTGGGTCTTTAAAGCCTTAATTCTTACTCAAAAAATGCCGGTCGTCTCGGAACTTTTGATATTTTACTTCCACATCAACTTCAAAGGTAAGTTTTTAAGCGAAATTAGCTTAAGCTACAAAATATATTCGTTATTCGTGGAACTAAGTGTGTTACCAGATCTTGCCCCATAATGTCTTAGCCAATGAATCTTATAATGGTAATATAAATAATTATAATATAATTTAAAAAAATTGCAACTCTACCATTTTCCCTCAGCATATCCGAAAACGAAAATATTGGAAACAGTCTTTGAGAGAGTGAGAGGGAGGGAGAGGGTGAGGGAGGGAGTGAGGGAGAGGGAGAGAAAGATTATTTGATTTATACATTTTATACCAATCTTATCTATATTTGTATTTTTATGTATGTGGGGTATTATTTTAAAAAGCAGGAATAAGTCCAGTTTCCTGGTCGAGCTTTCGAGGGATAGATCCACGTTGTTAGGATTTCAAAACTTATAATAAAAATTGACAAAGATAACAAATATGAACATCGATTTACAATATTGAAACGTGTGGTTCCAAGCATAATATTATTAAGAATTCTTAATTGAACTGGTTTTTTTTTACATAGATCTTAAACCTGCCACATATCATACTTCGATAATATCTCCTCGATAATATCTATCTATCTCCTCCGATGGTCGTGTTGGAGTATTGTTTAACATACCCACTGTACGTAAATGATTTAATAAATGAGATTTATTATTATTTTTAGAAAATTGTGAATTATTTAATTGCCTTTGGATCCGAACAATAACGCTGTATGTAACTCTTACATAATATGAAAATAAAATATGCTCGAGACAGTAACACGTGTCACATCCATGTAATCACTTCAGATCACCTGACTGTTACCGATGAACTCGATTCCCCGAGACTCCTCAGCACAGTTTTGAGTGTTTTTTTCTCAACTTCTTAGAAAAAAAGGAAATAAAAATTAACAATTAATTGATAACTAATTAAATAAAAGTAAAAGTATTAGCGTGGGATAGATCAACCGTGTACACTGTGAATGAAAGGGGAGCGAATAGGCTACCCTGCGGTACACCTACGAGAATTGAGTAAATGGAGGATAGATAAAGAAGTGTTTTGGCTAGTTTGGAAGTGACGGTTAAATAAATATTATTTGAAAAAAAAAATCATTCAATAACTATTTTGTTTTTCAGATTGGTATTAAAAAAACATTACAACAATTCAAACTACAAAACAAATATATTCATGACATGAAATTTAAATTATTCAGAAATCGTGAGATGCGGTCTGGTGTGATGTAGGTTTCAGAAAAACATTTTCTTTATCGTATCAACGTTTCGATCTTTCTTGAGATCATCTTCAGAGCTCAAAGTGTTTGTCTTCTGTGTAATTGTGCTATTCTTGTCGTGTTGAGAGTGCCTGAGTGAGGGCCATGAAACCTACATCACACCAGACCGCATCTTACGATTTCTGAATAATTATCGATTAACGGTCACTAATCACCACACATTTCCTTTAAAGTTAACGATTTCTCGTTTAGCTATTAGTGTAGTTTCCCCACGAGAGTTGAGTGCTAATTCAAACTATAATCTTTAAGCGATTGCAATTTAAATAAAATTTATATTTTGCTAATTAGACTCAAAGATAATCAATGAGGCAAATCCTACTTTACGTACATCGATAAATTGCATATAAATCCAATCATGTGTTTCTAGTAATAGGAAAAATACCCAATAGTAAATGTATTTAAAGAAACATCTATCGGGTTTGAGTAAAAACGTAAAATCATCTTTGAAGAAATTTCCAAATCAAAATAGCTTTCTGGAAGCGCAATAAAATTACCTTACGAATGACAAGATGTTGAAGGGGAATCAGAACTAAAACAACTTTTGTTATTTTATTATCAAGACGTTTTAAAGCAAAATAATATATTTTTACGTAAATATATATAAAACCTCAAAGAAATCTGTACTATTAAAAATCCCTAGCTACAAAAATAAGGCAAAAGTCGCACAAAAATAAGAATTATCGCCATTATTTTATTGTCCCTAACGTCAAAAGAATAAATTTAACTTTTAATTAAATGTTCTAGGCGGTTTTACGACCAGGTTTTATTACACCGTAATAAAGAAGACTCATTAAAAACTCATTACTCAATTTACGCACTTTCCGTTTGATGTGAGACCTGAATTTAGCGGTGAAATTTATTACATTTTTATTACGACGTCTTAATGACATAGGGGTAGCGTTTATGAAAATTTGATATAACATCTCAGCCGTACATTTTTTTTACACTCGAAGTAACCGGTATCCTGTAGGTGAATAAAATTGGCTAGGCTTTTTCTCGGTCGGCCGGGCTTAGCA